CCACACCCACACCCACACCCCAACCTTAAACAATCATGTTAGAAAAACGCATAACTTACAATTCGATGCATCTTTGTTTGTTTTTCGAATGATGAAACGCACAGCTTTCTATCTCTTTGCTGTGTAAGAAGAAGGAACAATTGATGAAAACTATTAACTATATAAAAATTGAAGAGTATCTACAAATGTATTGAATCTAGTTTAACAACAAAATTTGAACAACTTTACCTTAGAACTTCTTAGAGATCATAACTGAATTTTGAGGTAAATTTTATATATCACATATACCATTCGATACGGTTCAAATTTCTATGCAAAACCATTTGTGATATTATGATTCAAGATAGATCGAAATCAAACAAAATTCTTTCAAACAGTTACTTTTAAATTTTATATTTGTGATACGTGAAACTCCTCTTTTGATACAACTGCTAAGCCCAATCTTTCTTTCTATACAAAGAATCATACTACGTGATATTTTCTAGTTTACAAACTGGATTGAATTCGATTTCCACTTCAACAAATGCTCACAGAAAAACGAAACTTAGTTGTAAAAAACTGAATTCGAGGATATTTAGAAAGATTGTTCTATTTGATGCTATGATTCCGTTGGTTATTAGGCAACGAAGTTTATATATTATTCAAACCTTGATACCGTTTTATACACAATATTACGCAACATATATATGATTGACTGAATATTCTGATCCCGATATTTCAAATTAATAAACTAGTTTTTTCAGCTCTAACATGTTTTTAGAAAAACTCTACTTTGTGCTGACCAAATTTTTTTGATAATATAACATGAAAATAAGAAAAAAACGAGATACTTTCAGCTTTACCTTCTTATATGTTCAAAATAGTCTTCAGTATTACTTGTACAAAGTTCTATTCTTCTTAACAGTTCGTCTAAAGTTTTTGAATTTTTTTCAAAACTGTTCTTTACTATCTTAATCTAAAAGAATGTTAAAATTAAATTCAAGATAGAGTTGTTACATAAATTATTGTAGACGAAGCACTTACTGTGAATTCATACAATAAAACTTTTCATATTAAATATTTTATAAAATTTCGAATACCAGGATCAGGACTGCTTGTCAGCTCCAAGTATTTTAAGGGAAGAGAATTTAAAAGTTTGTTCCAATGTGTACTAAAAGTGAAGGAAGAAAAACAAGCAGCTTTTATATCTTGATCACTCATAATTCATCATTAACAATAAGTGCTGAATCAATTGCTTTCCTGTTTAGAGGTTTTTCATTCTATTTCAACAGCTTTCTATATACGGCAAACAAACGTAGCAGCGAAGATCTCTTGATTAGTCAAAGGTGTGCTAAAATACTAAGGTGTAAAATGCAGTTCAATACCGCAGAAGTATGTATTGCTTATTACTCCCTTAAATATCAATTTCTATATAGAAAATTGAAAAATCAAGGCTATATGACTTTGAATGGAGTGAGCTCTATTCTATAGACAAATAGAAGTTTAGTGCGCAAGAATATCAAGATTCTTTGCCACTATTTGCGTTATTCAATTGTCAATGTTGTGTATACGATACACAAACACCTCTGACAATTGCTAAAATCACTCTATAGCATATTTATAACAAAAATTTTATATCAGTAAATATTTTAGCAACTAGTTTTTCAGATTGATGGTACACAAGTATTAGAAGATTCCCTGTATCTTCTCGATGTTCGTTTATTTCGAGATATCGATGCGAGAACAACAAGAGAATAGAACCACGTAAGCGACAAGAGAGAGAGCATATATAGAAGGGATAAGCGTCAAAGAATGAATAAACAGATGTCGATGAGTCAGGAATAAACAAATGACTGTAACATTCCTCCTCACCGACAGAAATGTGGGCCCACACACATACACTAATATAAGAATAAGAAATGAAAAATTGAGAACGGCAATTGTAATAAGATAACAGATAGAGAACCATAAAACAAAAAGAAGAAACGATGGTATAGTACCATTGCAGAGAAAAAACATACCAAAGAGATATGAAGAACGAAGGCGATGCGTATGCCGATTCAGCTCGGTCAGCTCTGTGGTGATTGACTAAATCATATCGAAAACACGATTCGCTCGACGATTACGATTGAAGAGACGAAGCAAAAACGATTTAGCGAAGAATATTTGCGCTAAAAATTAAGGTTGCTGATTAGACCTTTAAAATGTTCGATTATGAATGACGTAGAATGGATACGATGATATGAGAATGATAATGAGAATATTTTTCATAAATAGTTTTGTGTGTATTTCTCTTGGATATAGTCTTAAAATACTTGCAGAGCGAATAACGAATGCCAGGTGTCCGAATAATATTGTGAATAGTTCTATTGAATTGTGTGATGCCGAATAGTAACAGTGATTCTAGCTCGCGAAGAATTACTACTGTTATTGCGTATGGTGATGAATAAAGTTTGTATTCTCTTGAATTCTTTGCCAAAAAACTCTTAACATGTATAATTAATCCGTAGATAAGTGCTGATATATTGAGAACATTATTATGTGCTGGATAGTTAAGTATTTTGAATCCAAAAAGAAGTGAAAACAAAATGAACGACAATATAGTAGGGTCGTAATTAAATAGTCTTGATGATTGGTGCGACGAGATGTTATATAACTTGACAGACGAAAATGAGCCGTGTAACCCATGACTTGTTATCGGTCGTAGTTTACATTTCGATGTTGATAAAGCATGAGAAATAATACCAGTATCGAGTTTTTGTCGAAGTTTGTGCTCTTGAATATTCGAATTCAATGAAGCGGGTGGATGAACTGTGGTTTCACTTATAAACGTGGGATCAATTTGTGGTTTAGACACGAGCACTTCTTGCAAGATATATGGTTGTTCCGTAGTTACTGGATCATTTTGTTTCATTGCTAATGCTTTTGTGTCGGTTAAAGAACGAACGGAAGCTTTTCTTTCGAATAATTTTCTTTGTGGTTTAATATCATGAAAATGCCATGACTCAGTACCATTGGGCCAAAATACATCGGGCTCAGTTTCAATGCTTCTTTTTTGAATTAATAAATTTTCTTCACGAGCTTGTTTGATGAATAATTCGCGTTGAGGTTTTATTTCATGTATGTGCCACGATTGAGTTCCATCAGGCCATTGTGAGTTCGATTCGATTTCATTCGCAAGTATGACTATTTTCGGCAGCTGGTCCTCATTCACAGAATGCTTCATGGATTCGAAGGAATTGAGAGAGATGAATTCCTGTCGGCGTCGATATTCGTATTGACTTCGCTGTCGGCGAAGCAATTTTTCAACTTTTTTTGTTTCTATTGGTTCAATGAACAGAAACCAGTTTTTGAATAAAACTTTTTGAACTCGTTGTCGTTCATTTAAATCTGTAATAGTTTTCAGAGATTCATCAATTCGTGAAGCTATATCGCTAGCACTACAATCATACTGTAAAATCAATGAAAGAGGTGAAAGCTGTTTTCGACTAATAGATGCAGTTTTGTGTTGATTATGAATTTGAGTTTGTTCAGGAGGCGTTCGGTAGGCATTTTGACGGTTTTTTGAATCAAAACATCTTGGACAAATAATTGTGTCGTGTTGCAAGCGGATTTTCTCTGCAATTGCTTCATATAAGCACTTGTTACAAATTGTATGCGAACATGGTTTAACTTTATAATGATACAGATATACGCAGTCAAAACACACCGGATCCGATCGATTAGTAAGTTACCACATTTTTCTTGTGGGTAGTTAATGTTTGCTATACCTTGAATTCAAGAACACCAAAACTGATACAAACGGATGAGTAGAATGGTTCACTTTCTTTTTGTGAAATAAAGAAAGTCGGTCACGGCACCAAATATTAGAAGATTCCCTGTATCTTCTCGATGTTCGTTTATTTCGAGATATCGATGCGAGAACAACAAGAGAATAGAACCACGTAAGCGACAAGAGAGAGAGCATATATAGAAGGGATAAGCGTCAAAGAATGAATAAACAGATGTCGATGAGTCAGGAATAAACAAATGACTGTAACAACAAGTAACGCTAATCGGCAGCCGATCAGCTTAACGCCAGACTGACTTAATGATCTAAAAGCAGGTATGCAGCTGCATCCATCTGTCTATGTAATATAGTCACCATACATTAGCTATGATCCAGATAATTACAAATACGGTCTGAGGCACCATAGAACTACTTCAAAATGAGCAATAAAGCTCAAAAATTCCTCAAAAACACAGGAACAGGGGGATAAGAATGGTGCCTGTGACGAAAAATACAAACACTATTATTCTGTTTAGTTTTTTGAATGCTATCTGGTCAGTCGGGTAACACCTTGGGTTGCAAGGATCATTATCGTGACCATTTTGAGCACACTTTTGCGATTGTGAGTCATACCTTTGATAAATCAACGGTCAAGTGTGCCGCGTTTGTGACTATTCAGAGTGCTTTTAAGGGTTTTTTGATTATGTCTTTCTTGGCGTAGGCTGTTGTTACAGTCATTTACTTCATATTTATCCTAATTTCAACCGGACTATGAACAATATTTAGCATTAAGTCACTCATGCCATCCCTATGACCAGTGACCATAGGGATGGCACGAATGCACGATATCATGCTGTAAGTCACTAAGAAAGTAGTTCTAATGACAGAAATAATGATTCAAATAATCACCATTATGGTTAATCATAGTATGGATGTCCTCATTTGTACTGCAACAGTAGTCATTGACGTCATTGGGAGAGATATTCGTACCATCAATATGGTCATGTCACGTTATTCATGTGGTCATCTGTACCAAAGGGGTGGTCATTTGTACCAAGCGTTAAAAACAGACCTACAGACAGGCACAGATGAATTTTGGCTTATAGATCATACCCTTTCAGTTTAAGAAATATCTGTTCTATCAATAGCAAAGCATTTGCTGACGTCATTTTTTCTTTGAATCATTTGTTCAAGAAATTAGTAATCTTCACTCTAGTGAGCAGGATAGTTATATAGTTGTTGTTTGAATAAAATATACTTCTAAAAAAGTAGCTCATGCACAGCCAAGGATTCTATTCCGTAAAATATTGTTCGTGTAACATTGCTCCTAGGATATTTTTTTGAAAATAATCGAAAACACATTTAGTAGAGAAAAATCCGATACTTTCATTATGATATTTATATCATGAATTCAATGAGGTCAAAGCAGCCAGTGAACCATAATAAAAATGGTTCAACACAACATATTAAGAGCTAACATTTTGTAATGAACTGTACCCGACGCAGATATTCTATTAGCAAATCATTATTCTTTGCGGCCTTTTAATCTACTGATGCGGCATAAATTGAACCTTTTACCTATCATGACTCCATATAATTTGTCTTTTTTGGCACATTTTATATAGAAAAATTTACGCCATAAAACTAGAGATGCATCCGTCCAATTGAACTGGGTTAGTCAGCTCTGCTGGATATCAAGAGAACTAATCTGATATTGATTCAATGATCAATACTTCTGTTTTTTCACCTAAATTTTTCGTAGTCAGAGATTCTGAATTTCAAATCAGAATTTCGGATTCGAATTCTTTGGCTCCAGAGGTCTTTGATCAAAAACAAAAGTATTGATCTTCAAATCAATTCTAGGTCAATTTCCTGGATATTTAAAACAGTTGGATACTAGGTCAACCAATGGGGACTGGAACGTATTCATTCCTACATAGAGGTAACTGATCTCCGGATTTAGTGCCAAAGCAAAATTTTTTGAAATATAACCTTTTTAGAACAAAATAATTTTCTCTGCCAAGAAAAAAAGCAAATTTCTTTAAAGAAACTTTCACTCGTGCACATTGCGATGCAAAATTTTTAAGCTTTTCATTTTTTCTTCTCATCAATATAGAGTTTCACTTATCTTCTAATTACTGCGCATAAATGAAAAATTGGAACTTATTTTTCGATCGAAAAAAAGGAAAGGATACCAGCATTCATACGATGAAAGCAGACAATATTGCACAGTCTCTTTTGCGTTCCTGAAAACAACTTTTGGAAAACAATTTATCATTTTTTCTACTATCTTCTGTGCACTAAAACCGATTGAACTGAACTTTTTTTATTACCATTTTAGTCAAAGTGGAGTGCATATGCACTTTTAGGGAAAACTTTTTATAGATTAATTGTGACATATCTCCCAATATTTAATAATATTCATAAGGAAAAAAAGGCACCTTGTTTGAGCTCTAATTTCTTCAAAGAACGTTACAGCGAGAGTGAATCTTTTTCTCGAATCAAGTGACGAAATGGAAAACTTTATAATTATAATCGTTGTGATTACATTCCTTACGTCCTTTTTGCTTTGAAAGATTCGAAACTACACATTCATACCTCAACAAGAAATCGCACAAAGAAAGATGTACACAAATGAATTTATTCCCATACCCTTATTTGTTGAATCATATTTTGAATGAGAGCAATTTAAAGTTAATATCTTTTTATATGAGATATACAACTTGCTGCGTTTGAAATTAGTTTTAATCTACAATGTATGCACGCTCTATTTTGTTTTGAAAAAAGTCACGATATGTGCATGCATTACCGACCCCGAAGGATTTTAATTAGACCTAGTAAGGAAACCTGACTAAAAACTCTTTAAACGAAATGAGTAATTTCAGAGTAACCATGACTGCTATCTGCTATCAATGCCACTAGTTGCATCTTTTCTTTACTGTATGGTTACTTAATTGAGTATAGTAATTAACTGAGTGATATAAGTATGGCCTGTACTAAGTTTTATTATAATAATCGATCTATTAATGTACTGTCTGTTTACAAAATCAAATTCAAATTATACTGAAAAGTCTTTCTTTATAACGTTAATCGATCAGTATATCATCTGTATCGAGACAGAATTAGTCGACTAGCGTTAACCATTCCATATAGATAGTCGCGATTGACTTTTACTATGAAATTATAGTTCAAAATTTTCGACCCCTCTGAGCCAATCGATCAAATCTATGGCAAACTTCTATGAAGTATTTGATCAAATGATATCTTTTTGTCAAGAAACATTAGTGCTCCCATTTAAAAAAAACAGTTCTAAATATATAAATCTATTAAAATCTTATGGTCATTTAACTAATCTTCAGTGAATAGTTTTTAACGCTTGAGTCGTTACATTCGAGTCAAATAATATTTCTTACAAGTTTTTATTAGACATTCTTATATGGGTTGATAGAGCTAAACAAGCTCTCAGAAATATGAATATCAAAAAAAATTCGAATCCTGTTTTCAGTATAAAACTTGAATGAAATCATGGAGATTAATAAAAATCTGACATATCTTTCAGGAGATAGTATGCTTAAGTTTCAAAACTTTAGCTGATCGAGTAGTAATTGATGTATCCAGATGCAGTATCATATACTGAAACTAAAAATAGCTCTTCTAAGATGTTTGAGTAGATGGAAGAGCCAACTAGCTCAAACTTTTGAAAGCTCTATTTGCTGTCTCATATCTACGATACATGGAATGTTTAGTAGTCTTTGTGGTTTCTCCAAAGTTTTCTATTGAATATAAGATCAAGAGTTTTTTGAGCATTTACAGTCTTGTAGAGGTTATGAAACGCTCTCGAATCATATGAAAATATCTTGAAAACAATATTTGCGGAAGATTTTATAAATATTTTTTTTTCAAAAGTTGTGACGAAAACATTTTCACTCAAGATTTGTAAAAATGATCATAGGATTGTAACAAATGTATATATTTCGAACAATTTTTTTTAAATGGTAACTCTCATTTTCCTTCACAAAATGAAATAATTCGATCAATAACTTCATAAAAGTTTGTTATAGATATCATTGATTGACTGAGAGGGTTCGAAACTTTTAAATCAATCTTTAGTATGCTTCAGTATCAGTGTTGGGCGCAGGACAGGAGAGAAAACATTATCTTGTGCTCATTTCTGTTTTATATATTCTACTCTTCGTTTCGTTTTTGTTATCAAAGACTTTTTCATTCATGTACTTTTTTTATTAATAGTATCTTATATATGTTAACAATAAAGATGATAAAACCCCATAAATACATATCTTTTCACATTTAGTATCTGTAATGAGTACATCATTAGCCCTTCTCGGCATTAACGAGATAGCAAAGTAATCAACATTTTTCAAAGTTGAAGTTCTTCTCTTCTCGCTATTAAAGTGTAAAACTTGCGTTTTCTGATCTATTTATAAAGTTAATTCAAA